AGACGTGCCGGCGGGGCCCTTGCGCGTCCCACCTGGGGTAGTGAACCGCTGCCGCCATCGGAGGTAGCGTGGCTCGGAGGAGTTGCGTGTTTTCCCATCTTAAAAGCGTTATTGGGGCGTGTGCAGCAACAGGTGAAGGTTAACTCTGGAAAATATTGATACGTGGCTTTGCAGTGGAAGATTAGGATTTGCATTCTGATCGGCAAGGTATTTTGGCGTTGTGATTCGCGTTTACGCTATGCGTAGGGGCTAGAGTGAAGCTTGGTGACTTTTTTTGAAAGTTACTTGAAGAGGCCTTCCAGATATCTTGTGCGTTAGCCTTGCCTGGTAACATCATCTCATGAAAGAGAAAAAAATGCAAGGATTTTGTTCCTCTCTTTATAGGTTCTCATCTGTCGGAATTACCGTGGAGATGTGGACATGTCAGAGGTGGAGCATTTTATGCCAATCCTTATGGAAAAAGAAGAAGAGGGGACGCTTTCTCCTATTCTAGCACATGGAGGAGTTCGTTTTATGTGGATTAAACATAACAACCTATATCGTATCCTTTATACCGCAGATAGCTCGCATAGGTTGATAGGCCAAGTGCTGCCGTATTATTTTCGTTGTTTGTGTCTAAATGCAAAGCTAGAGAATGGGTGAAGTGGCGTAAGGAGGCTCTGTTAAATAAAGCCGTTTTATGCTTTACATAGTGTAACGTGCACCGGCAGCATTGGGTGCAGAAAAGTGGTTATATTCATTTTACTCTAATAAATTATTTTCTCAATGCTTCGTATCTCATTAGCCCAGAGGTACTGTTAATTAACTCACTCTTAGGTTTTTTGGCCGACTCTAATTGCCTAAAGGCTTTTAGAAACGCACTTAGTAAACATTTTTGTGAATGGTGACTTTGAATGCCCGTTCCTGAACATCCTTTATCAGTTGTTGCAACTTCTAAGAAAAATGCATGTGTATCACTGGTGTTTTCATTTTTATATAAAGTAGTTCAGGTGAGTATGAAATTTCAAAAGTCGCCTCCCTCTTCTTTTCACTTCAGTCTAAATCTGATCTAAATAGAAGCGCGTAGAGCTTTCACATTTTTAAAGAACTCTATGGTAATAGCATTTTTACTTTATATTTGATTATTTTGTAGAACTATCTTCCTAACCACTAATAATGGAATTGATATTTTGTAGCTGAGTAGGCAAAGGATGTGACACAACGCTGTAAGTAGTTGCACAAGACCTGAGAACGCAGAGGAGAATTGTGGACTTGCTGCATGAGTAGTGGCGTATCATATAGATTCTCTGTTTGGTTCATCTGTACCTGGCATGAAAAATATTTTCTCCAGAATAAATACTTTTTTATAATAGTTAGAGTTGCTTCTAGGATTCTCTAGGTCTCTTTTAATTGAGGTGGGTTTCCTGAGGCTAATCTTCAAACAGAATGCTGTTTGTGAAGTATGGGGTTTGGTTTGGGGCTTTTTAAAAATTATTATTTTAGATGCAAGAATACATTCTGAATGCGCTGTACTTCCTCGGTTAATCTCCTCCTCCTTCCCCTCCCTCCTGTCATTTTGTTTCAGGTTTTTTCTGAATATTTCAAGGAGTTGGAAGAAGAGAGCATTAGGGATAATTTTGTTATTATTTATGAGTTGTTAGATGAGCTTATGGATTTTGGTTATCCACAAACCACTGATAGTAAAATTTTACAAGAGTAAGTATCATTCTGCATCACTTACAGTGACAAACTCCTTGGAAAGTTTTGAGCATTCTTCCATACGCCAACAAATGTTCCGGCTTGGTCTAGTTATCAAAAAAATTAATTTTTATTTTTTCATGCCAATTTTGTGGCTGTAAAGGTACATCACTCAGGAAGGTCACAAACTTGAAACTGGAGCTCCACGTCCACCTGCCACTGTTACGAACGCTGTTTCATGGAGATCAGAAGGGATAAAATACAGGAAAAATGAAGTCTTCCTGGATGTCATAGAGTCTGTTAACCTTTTGGTGGGTACCTTTGACTTTAACTTTTGATGAGAATTGTAACAAGAAGTGTTGAAAAGGGCTTATTGTCTGAAAACCTGCAAGGGTACAATGAAAAGTCAGACTGACTCTGGCTAGCGTACTGTGATGCTCAAAATAATGTCAGTCATTAAGACTGAGTACCCATAAGGACATCCAGTAGACAAATAGCGCTTTACTTGAATGTATCGCTAATTTCTGGTATGTTCTTCACCAAAAGGGTTGTTGGGCATTGGAACAGGCTGCCCAGGGAAGCGGTTGAGTTCCCATCCCTAGGGTATTGAAAAGACGTGTAGATGAGGTGCCTGGGGACATGGTGTAGTGGTGGACTTGGCAGTGCTGGGTTAACGGTTGGACTCGATGATCTTAGAGGTCTTTTCCAACCTAAACGATTCTGTGATTCCTTTCCTCCTCCGTCTGTGCCCATCACCTCCCTGACCTAATTCTACTCTACTGGATTAATTTTTCAGGAGAAAGACATCCAAGAAAACTTGGGACATGGGGATGGGGTGGGAGTAATGTTCGATGTCATGACATATCACATCACAGCAACCTTACCTTTCTTTTCTTTTTTGTTTAGGTCAGTGCCAATGGAAACGTATTACGGAGTGAGATAGTTGGATCCATTAAAATGCGAGTCTTTCTCTCGGGAATGCCAGAGCTGCGCCTCGGTTTAAACGACAAAGTTCTCTTTGATAATACAGGCCGTGAGTATTTTGGCGATATCTCGGTAATCGTGAAAGACGTTATCTGAAGTCTTAGGTTTTGGGATGCTTGAGGTTCATCTGAAAGGATTTGTTCTAAGATGATAGAAATACTCCCTTTATGAGTGTAGAAAACCATATCAGGTCTTGTGTGACAATACCAAGCAAAGGTGGAATACCGTGGTAATACATGGTAACCATCTGGGCTTTCTCATATCTTTTTTTCACTGGTACTTCTGTAGTCCTAAAAACCTATAGCGAGCTAAGAAAGTATTGACTAAAATGTCAGCAGACAACTGCTTTGCTGTGTAACTGGCTGTGATGAGACTTGGAACGTAATTTGTGTAGCGCCTTGACATCTGTATTTTCTGCTAGGTGGCAAAAGTAAATCAGTAGAACTGGAAGATGTAAAGTTTCACCAGTGTGTTCGTCTCTCTCGCTTTGAAAACGACAGGACAATTTCTTTCATTCCGCCCGATGGAGAGTTTGAACTCATGTCCTATCGTCTTAATACCCACGTAAGTCTGGGTGTATGGATCTAGACTGTAGGATTTTATTGTATGACAGTGGTTTAGATGTCATACAGGCAGGCAAAATTGCTAATGGCTTTCTCTTAATTCTGTTTTATTTTTTCTTAAAGTATGGGCAGCATAGTAGTTTTCAAGTCAACCGTTAATAGCAAAGCTTTGTGCTCGCTCTTTTTGGAGGAAGTGAGAATGAGTTTAGAAGTAACTTGGCAATAAGTCTCTACATTTTCAACTACTATTGAAACTGTTTCTCAAATACCGTTCCTGTGATGACTTTTTTTTAAGCTAACTACGTGGTGAAATGTCAGTGCAGCAATTCATTTGTGCTTGACAACACCAGTATTTATGTCATTTAATTCTATTAGAGTATGCTAGCCGCATAAGGATAGCTTTCCTTTCAGAAAAGGAAAAATTCAATATCAAGAAGGTCTGTAATATGCAACAGGAGACAACAATGAAAAGTTTAGTATTTTTTATTTTAAGGGCAGTAGTTTGAATTAGAGTTATTTTTAGGGCTTGTCATAGTTCAGTCCCTAGTGTGTTAAATTATCAAATATTGTGGAATGCAAGTGTTTGTTATTGGGTTTTAATCTGAGACATACCTTTTTAAGCCTATAATTCTTGTAACACTTGGTCGTTGGTATATCAATGCTTGCTCATTTGTATAATTTTTTTTTTTTTAAATAAAACCACAACTTGTTTGTCATTTCTAACACCACAGACTTTCTGTTTTCTGTGGGGTTCACGTGTTGAGTGTCTCTTTAGGGGAAGCAACATTTTCATGACCCTATCAAAGTAAAACCTGCAGCTGTTAAGTGTTTTTCCCCCTTTAGGTAAAACCACTGATCTGGATTGAGTCTGTGATTGAAAAACATTCCCACAGCCGCATCGAGTACATGATCAAGGTCAGAAGTTCTAAAATAATTATGGCTAATTTTAGTCTTCTCTTTCATTTGTTTTCAAAGCTTGACCAGCAGCATGTGCATTTTTGTACAAGTATTTAGTTATTTCTGTGGGACTTAAATCTTTTTGAAAACTTCATTTGTAAGCCACGATCTCTGTGTTACAGTTCTGTTTCTCGGTATGTAGACGGGTGGGGGGGGATTGTGTGTCTTGCAGCTCTCTGAACTCACTAGCGTAATGGAAATATTTAGAGGCCTGCTTTTCTGATTTATTTTTTTTTCTTCTTTTAGGCAAAAAGTCAATTTAAGCGTAGATCAACTGCCAACAATGTGGAGATTCACATTCCAGTTCCAAATGATGCGGACTCGCCAAAGTTTAAAACCACTGTTGGAAGTGTCAAATGGGTTCCAGAGAACAGTGAAATTGTCTGGTCCATTAAATCTTTTCCAGTAAGTGTTATTTTTAGTCTTACCACCTAATAGTGTAATAATTATTTAACGTTAATATTTTATGAATGTTCAGACTCTGCCGAAAGCAAATTCTGATAGTATCAGACAAGTAGTACTGGCCTCTTCCTCTTTTCCCTTGGATGAAGGCTTGGAACTTGCTAATAGATGTTTGAGCTATACTGTTGTTTATATTTTTTTGTTTTTAACTGGGATAATTTTTCAGAACTAGGTTAGAGAGCAGATTTTGGAGCGATATCTGTGGATGGTGTAATCCCTTGGCCTAGATTTAGCAGCGGCTGTTTTGGTTTGTCAGACTGTGCTGCTTGGGGGTTCCATGAGCGTGAGCTGTTTCAAATGCTAATGGTGCGGTAGTACAGCTGCCTGTCACCATTTACTCAGGATGGTCAGCGGCACCCTTGTCTTTTGAGTATGAGGCTGGAAGAAAATGAATTATGCCTCAGGTAGTCCTAATTTGATCTGCATCTTTAAAAAAAAAAAAAAAAAGTATTTTTAAAATAAAAGCAAGTGCTCACTTCTTAGCCCTAGGGAAGAGCTGACATGAATAGTGGAGGTCAGCAATTGGACGTTAAGAAAACCACTTCTATCGTTGCAAGTTTTTTTTTATTTTTTGTTTCAAGAAAAAAAAAAATCTGTCCCTTTTGGGTAGGGTGGAAAAGAATATCTGATGAGAGCTCACTTTGGACTTCCAAGTGTTGAAGCTGAAGATAAGGAAGGAAAACCTCCCATTAGTGTAAAGTTTGAGATTCCATATTTCACCACTTCAGGAATCCAGGTTAGTAGTTGAAAATAGAAATACTGATAAGTTAACATGCTAGGCTCTTAACACACAAGTTTTTCTCATCTTGATGATTCCCGTTCAATGTTACCCATAAACCATATTTTTGACCAAAAAATTTTTTTTCTTTTTTGCTAAATGCTGCTTGGCTGACGTGGCAGACTTTATTTCTGAACATCCCTTTCTTTCCAGGTTCGCTACTTAAAGATAATTGAGAAGAGTGGCTATCAGGCTCTCCCGTGGGTTCGTTACATTACCCAGAACGGAGGTAAATGGAAGGCAGTAGACTGTAGACGTCTCCAACTTGCATCTTTTGTTTCTCCAGCACACACCTACAAATTGAAACACACAAAACCAAGTTTGCTCATGTTCTTGAGTATTAAACTATATGGTTTAGATACATGTTAGATTAAGGTATGCTGCTTTTTCCAGTCACCTTTTTTGGTGTCTTAATGAAAGACCCTATGGGATAGTTCAGTAATGCTGTTCAAGTATTGTGTAATTAAGCTGGGATTCGGTGAGATTTTTGGAATGTAAATTTAAAAAGAAATTGCTCACACGTATCGTTCTGCCGGCTTTAAGATGTATAAGACACTGTCTACTAAAAGATACTAGATTGTTAGCAAGTGAAAGTAGGGGGAGTGGGGTTTTCTTGCTTTTTGTTGTTTTTCTAATCTAACTTTCTGGCATGGGAGCATGACTGTCTACAGTTACCTTAATCACTTTAGAGCTCATTATCACGCGGCCATTCTAAGCAAAGCTCTGGTTTTATTTTATATCACTTCATCCCAGTTTGCTGATCCGCTTTACTACTTTTAGCGAGACAATTTACTAAAACTGGTTTTTGGGTTGTTTTTTTTTTTTCCCCTTTACAGACTACCAGCTTCGAACACAGTAAAACACCTCGCAAGCACCACAGATGCCAAAACTTCAGGCCTAGAATTTGTTTGCAGAAGCTTCTGTGGTACCGAGAGCCGTGAATGTTGTTGCCAAGGGTCTTGTTTCTGCAATCTTGGATTGGCAGGGGAGAGATTGGAAAATTACTGTTTTCAATAATGTGTTTGAGCATTTGAACCATTAGTATTGATTGTGTGAATATTTATTTCATTCTTAGAACATGCTGATCTTGCTGCTAAATACTAATTACATTAGGAGTAGCAGTTACCTTGAGGAGCCAGGAATACAGAATGAACCTTGAGAATGTTTTGTCAATGCCTTGTCCGTTACATTCGCAAAGTTTCTAGTATTTGTATTTTAGGATCTCTAAAGACATTGGCAGCATTATGCTACAAATTCGGGAGACGATGGTGCAATTAAATGACTGCTGAACACTTGGTTGTATTTAGCCCAAGGTATTTATTTTTTTCGGGGCATATGGGTGCCTTAACTCATTCAAAGCTCTGTTAACTTATAAAAATTTACGGAATATGAGTTAAAACTATCTGAAGTCCAAAAGTACCATTTGCTCTTGTTGCATGGTTTCAAAGCAATTAATCTGACAGAACAACTTCAAGTGAAGGGTTTGGAAACAGAAATAAGGGTTTGTTGAAGACTAAGTTAACTGAGAACAAGAGATGGCAGAAGTAAATGTCTATGGGAACGTCTCTGTGGAAGCGTGATGATTGTTAGTTCAAAGTAGTCGAAATGCAGACTGAAGAGTTTCAACCCTGTGATACCCCTATGCCAATTGACTAGTATTTGCCTTTTTTTAATTTGTATTTGTAAAACAAGTTCAAAACTGTGATATGTAGGCATAAGACCTTAGATTAATTATTAAAAAAAAAAGACAATTTTGGAGGCAATGAAATTTGGTAGGAAGATTGGTTTTTTAAATTATTGTTTTTCCAGACAATAGTAATATACTCTAACCTCTTCCTGAAAATCAATCGTTGTTTATGAAGAGGCCGATAAAAATACAGTTGCCATCTTTCTTCCAGCTTGCCTTTGTGTTAATTTAGGGCAAATATTTCCCTTTTTTGCTATAGTTTGCTAGAATTGTTTAACTTTATTTGCCCTAAGGGGGATGCTTTCTTTCTCAGTCTTTTCCGTTTGTAAACAGTTATTATTATAACTTCCTGGCAGAATGGATAACAGTTGAGAATGTTATACTTAAAGGTATTATTTTTTTTACATGCCGTTTCATTTTTTTCTGAGAAGCTAAGATTGGCATGGGTGTACATAGTTATTTTGGTTTTTTTTTCAGAAGAATTTTGATGATTATCAGTATTTTCTTTAAACAATTTTTAGACTGTTTTGGTTTGAATTTAGTGCTCCTGACAGATGCTAAACTTAAACCATCAAAATCTAAATACATGTCCTCAAACGCGATGTAATACACTGGGCGCAAGGTTCTCCGCACCACTCTGTTGACAGTCCTTGACTCTCCCACAAGATTGAGAAGATATTTCAGTCATTGTCCCCAGTAAATCCTTGTGGACTATATACAGAGAGATAGCTGTGTATACAGTATATACTATTAGCAAAAAACCAACTAAATTCCCTTGTGATGCAGCTGCTGTAACGTTACAGGAGGATCTGCCTCAGAACGGACTGATACCTGAAGGTACCTAGGCAATAACCAGACAGCTGGCTAGGCAACGATAGGTGTGGGCATGTATATTCTGGAGTAAGGTTACTGTATTTGTCACCCAACAAGCTTGATGTTGAAACAAATCATCTTGTTCAAGATTTTGGTTCCACTACTCATTTTCATTTGAACAATTAAGCTTATGACTGGACTAAACATTTTTATATTAAAACTGTAATTGGTTGACAAATCACTTCCTGATGACTCTGTTCTTCAAAGTGTTCGCTTTAACTGTTTGCCTGTAAAATGCGACTCAATAGCTTCATTTATTCTCCTGTCGAAGGTTGTATCTTGCGGACCAGAACAGTGTCTTCTCATATTTTGTCGCAATTTGACTCTGTTGTGATGATGGGGCATCAGCCATGCTTGTCCAGGAAGTAATAAAGGGCAAAAAGTCCTCTTTGTATCAGTTGCACTTCACTTGCTCTTTTTTCAGGTTGATCTACACCAAGCTGTAGCCTCTAATCTTAGATTACCCTTAGAGTACCCTCAGTTGTTCTAATATGAGGCCTGGATAAGTGGAACTGAACTTCATAAAAGCTGAAAGTATTGGTATTCCCGATTTGTTTACCAACTGCTGACAAAATCTTTGCTTCTCTAGTGTTCTCTGCAAAATTTGCCCATGCATCATAAAATTAGTGCTTATTATAGCACCCTCTCTTTCGGAAAGAAAAAAAAAACCCAAACCCCACCTCTTCATCCATTCACTGTTGAAATGTGGGGTGCCTGTGTACTTCCACTAGCATAAAGGCAGAAACAGGGAGATGCGATGTTATTCTAGCACTAGCTCTTGTTCAAGAAGTAACTTCTTTTTTTCTAAGTTTTGTTCTTAGAGCAACTGCTAAGTCTTTCCTACCTTGGTGGCCTCTGTTCTCTGCCTGATGTGGAGAAATGTAAATTTGATGGTCTTGCCACTATGTTACAGGTAAGTGCGTAATATAATATGCTTTTAAAAGACAATTTGCATAATTCAAATAAGCAGTAAAGTGTCTCATCTGTGTTTTCAGCTCAACGTGGTTTCATAGCTGTGTTACCTGGAATTTGGAACATTAGAAGTCTAAACTTCTTAGGTGGCTCTGAAAACACATCTCTGTTCCCAACACTAAGGCAGCAATGTTTACATGTTCTCCGCAGTTTTGTTTTTGTGATAAGCTGGGAAGCAGGCTATTTTTTTTCTCAGCAAGCTTAAGTGTGTTTCCCCTGCTCTATGCTTATAGGATAGAGCGCTCATCCTACCTGAAGGGCGCTCATCCTACCCGACCCTCAAGGCAGAATGGTGGGCACTTGTCTGAGGGTAAAGGCCGTGGCTCCAGCTGGGGGGTCTGCGCCATCTACCCCAGCGGCGGCCGATGCCTCCCTTCTCCATGCTGAAGGGAGAGGCTGCGGAGCAGACCTCAGGCTGCAGGACGGGCCTAG